CAGTTTCCATCCTACTCCTTACCTGTGGCCTGGTAAAGCAACAGAGGATGGCCCAAAGCCTTGGGACACTGCACCTATACAGGAGCCCCAAAGGAAGTTCCTGGCTCCTGGCTTCAGGTCAGCTCAGTTCTGACCCCCGGGGCCACTTGGGGAGTGAACCGGTAGATGGAAGATCTTTCTCTCTGTTTCTCCTTCTCTCTGTAAATCTGAATTTGCAATAAAAATAAATAAATCTTTTTAAAAAATGGTTTCGAAAAGTTTGTCATTATGGTTGACCTTCAAAAAGTCAAATATAAATCTACCGTATAACCCAGCCGTTCCACTCTGGGGGTTTCTCCAAGAGAAATGAAAGCATGTGTCCACACTAAGCATTCTCCATCAAAATCTGCAGCAGCTTTTAAACAACAATCAAAAACTGCAAACAACCCAAATGTCCACATAGGTGCACAGATAAACAAAGCTTGATTATTCATTAGAAATAAAAACTGCTGCTATACCATTAATGAATCTCAAAATCAATATGCTGTGTGAAAGAAGAGGGTTTTTTTTTAAGCATGGAATGAATGGCTGCATTTGCATAACAATTCTAGAAAATACTAGCAAATCTACAGTGAGAGAACCTAGATCCCTGGTTGCCCAGGGACAGAGAAAGCAAGCAGAAGGAACGGTATGGGTTAAAAACTTATGCATGTAATATTTTTCTGACACTGATTCTAATGAAACCTTCACCTATAACAAAATATTCTAGATTTGCAACAAATACACTGTATCTCTTTAATTGCAGTTTATTGTACGATAATTATGCTTCAATTAGGCTATTTAAAATAATCTTAAGAAAAAATACTGCAATTAAGTATTTCATTCCAAAAGTACTAAAACACAAAAATTGTGAGTTTTTTTTTTTCCATTCAGCTTTGTGTTAATGGGTCTCAACATTCTGTGATAGATTTTTGGTCAAGTTGTTTCCATTAAAAATTACTGATTTTAAAAAATAACTTAAAATCGCCACACATAAAACAAATGCTTCACAAAACATTCTCTTTTCCTTCTGAAGCTTTTACAATGTGTTCTTATCGTTAACCAGTCTTTCACTAGTAACCTTAAGTAGCCAGCTGAGACAAACAGTTCTGAGAGGTTCTTCTACAACTGCTGAAGCCCGGGCGCCAGCGTTAGGGGGGGCACTCACTGGGCATTGTGGGCAGACCTGGTGTTGAAGTAAGGAATCACCTGGACTGACTCATCAGAATAGTCTTAAAAACTAACATTCACACTAAGATTAGGAGGATCAGGAATTTTCTTAGCAAAGATCAGATAGAAAACAAGTAACAAAATACCCTGCAGCCAATGGAATGCATGTGTCACTTTCCAGAACTTCGCAAGTTTAAAGGAAGCAGGGGGGAGGCGATCTAATCTGCTAAAGAAGCCAAATTATAGAGACATTGTTCCTAAAAACCAAACTACTAAAATAACTCACTTTTTAAAAAATGATTTATTAATTTTTATTGGAAAGCCAGATATACAGAGAGGAGGAGAAACAGAGAGGAAGATCTTCGGTCCTCTGATTCACTCCTCAAGTAAGCCTAACGTCCAGAACTGAGCTGACCCGAATCCAGGAGCCAGGAGCTTCTCTTCCTGGTATCCCATATGGGGGCAGGCTCCCAAGGCTTTGAGGTGTCCTCGACTGCTTTCCCAGGCCACAAGCAGGGAGCTGGATGGGAAGCCAGGGACCACAGAGATTAGAACTGGCACCCATACGGGATCCTGGCGCATGCAAGGCAAGGACTTTAGCCACTAGACTACTGCACTGGGCCCATAACCCACTTTGTTGATGTAGGATCTTAGACACAGTTATTTGAAATTGCTGTGAATTCCCACTATATGAGAATATATATATATTAATAACGTAAAAAGAACCTACAATCTTTGAAATAAAGACAACCTAGGAACAAATAATAGTCATTTTAACTTTGCAGCATCTGTGCTTCCCCTGCAATTAACAAAAAATATTTCAAATACACACACACACATTTCTAAATAGTAGCCTAAAAATATCTACACATTTAATCATGCATTTTTTTGGTTACAACAACCTGAATCTTGAAATTAAATCTTAATTTTGCTGTCACTACTAGTACTTCCATGACAAATACAGGAAATTCAGTAACCACTTGTGACTATCATACAAGATTTTTAAAAAATTATATACACTCAATAAGACTCAACTAATGATTTCTTTGGAAAAGTCAATACAAATTTATAATAATAAATAATTCATAATGCAATAAAATATTTTCTAATCTCAGAGCATTAACTTAGGCTATTGTCTCCCTAAGAGAAATTACAAATCACAGGTTCAAAGCCAGAATAAAATAAACACCCAAATTTGAACACAAAAATATTTATTTATTTATTTATTTTTAAAGATTTACTTAATTTTATTGCAAAGTCAGATATACAGAGAGGAGGAGAGACAGAGAGGAAGATCTTCAGTCTGATAATTCACTGCCCAAGTGACTGCAACAGCCAGTACTGCACCAATCCAAAGCCAGGAGCCAGGAATCTCCTCCGGGTCTCCCACGCAGGTGCAGGGTTCCAAGGCGTTAGGCCATCCTCGACCACTTTCCCAGGCCTCCAGCAGGGAGCTGGATGGGAAGTGGAGCTGCTGGGATTAGAACCAGCACCCATATGCAATCCTGGCACATTCAAGGGAGGACTTTAGCTGTTAGGCCACCATGCCAGATCTCACATTTATATACACAAACTAATTACTCTACAGAAATCATTCTTAAGAACTAGAGTCTAAAAAGGAATGGCTTTCAAATAGATTATAGCAAAGTGTTCTATGTTAATGTTGCAGTAAGCTGCCCAGATAAATATAATTTGAATGAGAATCTATTCTAACTTTACCTCTCTGACTCTCAGTTCCAAGGTCTTCCGGCTATCTTAAGCTCCAGATCAATGCACGGTTTGTTTTACCTGTGTGGGGAAGGGCTTGTAATTCTGAATTTTTTATGCTTTTTAAACAGAAACAAAAGATTGGAATCAATGCTGGGAGAACTGAAGTATCACTTATGACACCCTACTTGCTTCCGCACTCCTTCCCCCAACCATCCATCTTCCATTCTAAAGCAGCATCTCAAGAACACTTTTATCCCCTAGGGAACCCCTAAGTAGAAAAAGGCTAAGTTACCATGGAACCGACCAATTAATTTTGACACCTGCTTACTAAGATTGATCAATCATTTTTGATGTCTGTTTGCAAGGTTGCTATCCTGCAGTTCAGTAATAGATTTTCAAGATAATTAACGAAGTGAGAATTTCCAAAGTCTTTCCTACTGTGTGATTACTTACTGTACAGGGTAAGGCAAGCCCCCATCTTCAGATAAATCTCCCAGAGTTTAGTATGCCCTTTGCAACTACGAATTCTTTCCTCCTAAATATGATTTTTCTTTTTAACATTAAACATCACTTTGCCCCTAAGAATATCCATAACAAACAAAACAAAGTTAGTTGTGCCAGTCAGCTATATTCACTTTCCACAGAGTTGAAAAGGCATTTACCAACAAATTCAAATGATTCAGGAAATAACAGCTTCCAAGGAAATGAATATTCAAGATTTATTATTATTCTGCCATATCCACATTAAGACCTATTCTTATTAGGCAAGTCAAAACTCACTAATGCATTCTGCTCAATGTTAGCGAAGCTACTTTTCACTATTTCTGCGATCTTTCTAACTGGGACAACATCTGCTCGCGAGGTCACAGGCTGCTGATACAGCTATTCAGCCAGCTCCGCTACCATAACATGCAGAGGTCTCTGAGTTCAGGAACACAGCCAGCCGGTTTTGCCCTTTGTGGAAAAAAATAATAATAACGGGGGCAACTCTGCCCACACAAAATATCCCTAAATTTCCTCTCAAGCATGCGATCTTGCTCCAGTCGCCTCCCAGGAACCCGGCCAACTAGAGGACGGACGGCGCAGCTAACTTTCTTAAGGACTTGTCTGCAAGCTGTCAGCCAGCTACAACTTCCTCCCGCCTCAACCAACTTACTTGCGGCTCCCCCATGCACAGCCGCCTCTAATCGTATCAGGTTGGAAACTAACCCACGCACCAGGAGAAAGTGTCTTCACTGGGAACAGCGAATTCCTTAGCATCCCCAGCGTCACACAAACCAAAGGAAGGCTTTCACACAGTAGCTCATTGTTAGAAAAATCCATTGTCTTCACACAAAAAAAGCCCAACCCCTTATCTTTCCTGCAGCCATCCAGTTCCATCTCGATTCAATATTGTCCGAGCAAATGCAACAAAGTATAGTCACCCCAGGTACACGCTCCGGAGTGACACTGGATGGTGTGCAGAATCGTGGCTCTCACTACTTGTCCAACTTTGGACGGTGCTTAAATCGTTTGCTTCGATTGCTCTCTGCAAACTCAGCAGAATAATTCTAGTAACTCAACAGAGGTGTTCTGAATTGCCAACAAGACAGTCCAGACAAAGCTCGGAGAACAGCTGACACACATCAAGATCTCTGCATATCATTACAGCTGTACCGAAATGTTGGCCAGCACTGGTCACCCCTGGAGAGTGGGATGGAAGGAAAGGAAGGGACTGGGAGTCCTCACTTGGACCCGTTTTGCGTTTGAATTGTTCGCAGTGCGCAAAGGATTTCAGGAGTTGCTTGCATAATTTCTCATTTTAAGAAGATAGAGTCCTAACGAAATGATCTTTGGCAATGTAACTGTGTGGGGAGAGGCTCCGGCCGAGCAGTGGATGGCAAGCTGTCACAAACATCTAGAACGCTCGCAGGAGGCTTTGCACCACGCAGCTCCGTGCGCGGTGCGGACCCCGCTCCCACCCCGGCCAGCTCCCGCCGCGCACCCTACTTTGCGCCCCAGCCAGGGAGGATGGGGGGATCCGAGGTGGATGGAGAGGCTCGGGGAGGCCGCGATCGGGACGGGACGGGGTCGAGGTGCTGGGGTCCGGCGGAGGCACTTACTTGAACCTGCCCTGGCAGTGCTGGCACTGGTCCCCCACCCAGCCCGGGTCGCAGAGGCAGGTGGAGTTGACACAGCGGCCAGAGAAGCAGGAACCGGTCCTCTCGCACGGCTTGGACTGGGACACCTGCGCGTAGAGCGCCAGGTAGAGGAAGCCATAGCAGAGCAGCCAGCTGTTCCCGTCCGGCAGCAGCCAGGAGGAGGCGCCGCCGCCGCCGCCGCCCGCCGGCCGAGCCCTCCACAGCCCCGGGGCGGCCGGCTGCGGGGCACCCGTGCGGGTCCGGACCCCCGGCTCCATCTTCCCCCGGCGCCCCGGCCCGGCGGGGCTGCGCTCGCGGGCGCCCACGGGGATGCTCCCGAGGGAATTCCGGCCGGAGGAGAGCTCGCCGCCGCCGCTGCGCCTCCTCCTCCTCCTCCTCCTCCTCACCGGCGTCTGCCCCAGTCCCGCTCCCCCGTCAGGAGCGACAGATCCCGAGCGCTGTCGCCTCCGCCCGGCTGCCTCCAGTCGCACTCGGGCATCGCCGCCCAGTCTCCTGACCTTGTCCCTCAGCGCGCTACCCTCCCGGCTGAGGCGTCCGGCAGCCGGCCGGAGGCGGGGAACGGGGAGCGGGAGGCGCAGCCTGCGGCGGGGTGGGCGGCCTCGGGACAGGACCCGACGGGCGGCCGCACCGGGCAGGGGAAGGGGGTCGCGCGCCGCCCCGCCTCGCCCGCGGCCCGCGCCGACTGCCTCAGCCGCGAGCGCCGCGCGCCGGCCGGGGCCGGGACCGTGCGGGAGCCCCGAGGTGGGCGCGCCCAACGCGGACCGGGGGCGGGGGGGAGACGCGAGGCCGACGCTCAGCCCCGCGCCGCGCTCCCGGCAGGCCGCGTCCTCGCAGCAGCAGCAGCCATCTCCCCCGCCCGTCGGCGCTCGGCAGCGCCCAGGCTGCGGATGCTGAGGACGGTGCGCGGGGCCGGCTCCCGACACGCCGGCCTGCCCACGCGTCCCCCCCTCTCGGCCCCGGCCCCGTGGTCTCGCCCCGCCCCTGACAGGGACCGGGGACTCCCCCCTACGCGAGCGCGCGCGCGCGCGGGCACGCGGCCACCCCACGCGGCGGCCGAGCCGAGGGCAGCCTTGTCCCCCTCGCAAGGTGTGGTCAGCGTGTCCGCCGTGCCCTTCCCCGGACGCACCGGGGCACCCCGCCCCAAGGAGCCCCAGGAGCGGAGGCTCCGCACGGGCCTCGCGGCTCGGGCCGAAAAGCGGCTCTTGGCGCCCGCGGTCTGCAGCTGCAAAAGTGAAGCGCGTTCAGCCCCGCGCGCCCCCCCCCCCTTCCTTCAGCCTTTTTTTTTTTTTTTTCCTTAAAACAGAAAAACCAACTACACAAAGAGCTGAACATGTGCAGCAGGCAACAGTCTTAAAGGCACCGCAGTCCGACCACATCGTGGGTCCGCAAGGACAGGGAGGGGCGGTGTGAAGGGCTGTGGGGGGCGCGGGGCCGTTTCCACCTGGGACCCCTCGGGGCTAGGGACGGGGTAGAGATTGCGACCACAGAAAGATGACCCTCGCCCCCAACCAAGAACCGGGAGGTCCTGAGCACCCACGCGCCACCCCTGGCCGCTGTGGCCTCGGAACCCCGTGGACGTCCTTTTCTGCTTCTCAGTGGTTCCTCCTCCATCTGGGACAATATCCTGCCTTGAAAAATATTGCACCATCGGTTTTTTTTTTTTTTCCAGAAAAGCAGAAATGATGCCCAGAAAAGAGCTATTTTCCTTCCTTAGCGCCAGTCTTTCTTCCTTTAGATGACTTTCCAAGATTTGGTGGCATATGCTGAAATTTTTGCTTTGTACTTTTGTGCCTTTTCCAAAACAGGCTTGTTTAAGTGAACCCTCGAGAAAGGAAACAGTTACCACAACACTGCCGGAGCTCCAGCAAGGGAGAAGGAGAGCAGGGCAGATCTGACGTGTACGGAAGGCATGTCTGACATTAAAAAAAGAAAAGGGAGGGGGGAAGGGAGCCAGAGGGAGAGACGTTTGAGTTGTAGCCACAAGTCATAACATTCTGCTGAAAGATTTGATTCCTGTCTGTCTGGGATCATGATGGGCTCACAGCATCCCTGGTCCTCTCTGTTATCCCCGCTTTACAAACGAAATCCTCCATTAACCCCATTTTTCAGATGAGCAAAGAGCAATTCAGCGAGGCTGAAATACTGCTCCATGGCAGCTTAGGAGTGAGGAAGGGGGAAGAGTCCTTTCAGCGTAAGAGCCTGCTCCCCCCACCCCCGTGGGCTTTCCACTGCTGATCAGGCTGTGTGCATCAGCTGATGCTCTCGTTTCCTTGCGCGAGTAAGTGCTGGCTTGGTTTACAAATACTTCAGCAGTGACTTAAAGAGGAAGACAGACGTCCGAAGGGGGAAGACTTCTTCACAAGGAAAAAGAAAAAGCCCTGAGTGTCATTTGGTATCACAGACAAATCATCATTTCCACCTAGATGCCACCACCCGCTGTGTGGTCATCAGCCCTAACATTAGAACTGCCCCTTTTCTTCCTCTCACATGCTTCCCGCATCCAGGGGGCCCCTAAGGACTTCTTAGCATGGGGTTAGAGCAGAGGAGGACCAGCCACACAAGAGCAATGCACAAGAAGATGCTGTCCTGGGTCACCCCTTTTCATTTCCTTGGTTTCTTGTTTCTGCATGAACAATCTCTGCTCCTTTCCATTCTTCTACCAGCTAAAGTTTAAAAAGGCACATCGCTCTCACATCCAGTGCAGAGTTGCTTTCTGACATGTGGAAAGTGGCCAGGCTCTTAAAATCAGCAAATAGTGTGAATGTATTTCAAAGAGCGCTCTAGAGTGTCTTCATCAAGAGAGCACAGCTCAGCCACATACTGACGGAAGCCTACATTTGGGCAAAAGGCTTCCCCATTAAAAATACAAATTTGCTAATCGTGTCACCATTGTAATCAGCTGAACACTTCACCTTACACGGAAGAACTTACATCCCTACAAGCCTCTTTTCATCACTGCCTTTAGAATCAAGCCAAATACATTACATGAATTTATTTATTTATTTATTTAAAGGTGTATTTCTTTATGGGCCCGGCACCATGGCTCAATGACTAAATCCTCACCTTGCATGCACTGCGATCCCATATGGCTGCTGGTTTTGTGTCCTGACTGCTCCACTTCCCATCCAGTTCCCTGCTTGCAACCTGAGAACGCAGTGGAGGATGGCGCAAAGCCTTAGGACCCTATGTGAGAGGTGTGGAAGAAGCTCCTAGCTCCTAGGTTTGGATCTACCACTGTGGCCACTTGTGGCAGACAGAAGATCTTTTTCTTTGTCTCTTTCTCTCCATAAAATCTGCCTTCCAGTAAAAATAAGTAAGTCAAGATTTATTTATTTAAGAAGAGGGGAGGTGACTGTACAGTGGCATAACAGATTAATACTCCAATGCAGGTGTAGGCAAACCACATGGATGCAAGTTTGTGTCCCAGCAGCTCTATTCTGATGCATGTATCAGCTTATGATTTGGGAAAGCATCAGAGAATTGTCCAGTTCCTTGGGCTTCTGCACCCCCATGGGAGACCTAGAAGAAATTCTCAGTTTCCAGCCTTAAACCAACCCAGCTCTGGCCATTGCTGTCCCGACCTGAAGGACACAAGGCTCAAACCCTTGAGGGTGGACTGGGAATGCTGGGCTGCTAGCCCCCAGGCTGCTGGCCCAAGAAACACACGGACACGCGAACTTGGTGGAAAAGAGTACCCAAACCCTTTATTTTACTCCTCATATATATACATTCTTCTTTAGGGGAGGCGGAGAAGGGGAGGCGTTTCCTGGAACAAATTATCTTCATTGAAGCAGGGAAGAACTAATCACCTATATTGAAACAGGGGAGGAACTAATTATTTGAACAGGAAAAAGGGTGGAGGTTCTGTTCCGCTTGCTTTGCATGGGATGTTCTAGCCATAATATCCTACTTGCTGTGGCCCCCGCTTGCCCAAGGCAGGTTTTGCGATGCAGCAGGCTGTCAGGTAGACCAAGTCTAAGGCCCTTAAGTCTGTGGCTCCTAACACATTGTAGCAATTTGGGGAGTGAAGCAATGGATGGAAATCTCACGCTCTCGCTCTCTTTGTAACTCTGACTTTCCAAGTAAAATATTCTAAGAAAGAAAGAAAGAATGAAAGAAAGAAAGAAAGAAAGAAAGAAAGAAAGAAAGAAAGAAAGAAAGAAAGAAAGAAAGAAAGAAAGAAAGAAAGGAAGGAAGGAAGGAAGGAAGGAAGGAAGGAAGGAAGGAAGGAAGGAAGGAAGGAAGGAAGGAAGAAGGAAGAAGGAAAGAAGGAAGGAAGGAAAGAAGGAAAGAAGGAAGGAAAGAAGGAAAGAAGGAAAGAAGGAAAGAAGGAAAGAAAGAAAGAAAGAAAGAAAGAAAGAAAGAAAGAAAGAAAGAAAGAAAGAAAGAAAGAAAGAGAAAAAAACCAGGCTCAGTCCAGTAGCCTAGTGGCTAAAGTCCTCTCCTTGCACACACCAGGATCTCATATGGGCACCAATTCTAATTCCAGCAGCCCCGCTTCCCATCCAGTTCCCTGCTTGTGGCCTGGGAAAGCAGTTGAGGATGGCCCAAAACCTTGGGACCCTGCACCTGCATGGGAGACCCAAAACCAGCTCCTGGCTCCTGGGTTCGGATTGGCTCAGCTCTGGCTGTTGGGATCATTGAGGGAGTGAATCAGTGGATGGAGGATCTTCCTTTCTGTATCTCTGGCTTTCCAATAAAAATAAATAAATAAATCAAGAAAGAAAGAAAGAAAGAAAGAAAGAAAGAAAGGAAGGAAGGAAGGAAGGAAGGAAGAAAGAAGGAAAGAAAGAAAGAAAGAAAGAAAGAAAGAAAGAAAGAAAGAAAGAAAGAAAGAAAGAAAGAAAGAAAGAAAGAAAGAAAGAAAGAAAAGGAAAAGAAATCAATTTAAGAAGGCACCAGCGTGCCAGTGCCAGTGCCATGGTACACTGCCGCACTGGCATCCCATCTGGGGACAGTTTGATGTCCTCACCACTGCCCTTCTGATCCAACTCCCTGCTTATGGCCTGGGAGAGCATTAGAAAATGGCCCAAGTGCTTGGGCCCACACACCCACAGGGGAGACCCAGAAGAAGCTCCTGGCTCCTGGCTTCAGATCAGCTCAGCTTGAGCCATTGCAGCCTTTTGGGGAGTGAACCAGTAAACAGAAAACCTCTCTCTGTCCCTTCTTCTCTCTGTTACTATTTTAAATAAAAAATAATATATCTACAGATGCAAAAAACTATAATGACTGAAGACACAAAAGTTAATGACAAAACGTGGTTAAAATTTTGACTAATGGCTCCATATCTACTGAAATTGAAAAATTTCAAAAGTGTAACATGACTTGATCTTTCTTTTCTCCAAAGCAGTAGAGTCAGCATTTTAGCAGTGCTATTCGACACTAAAATAATTCATGGTGTTGATAATTGCAGTCATAAATCTAGCAGAAAGGTGAAAAATTACTCCAAAGAAGTAATAGGGGAAAGACAGCTCTACAGAAGTGGGATGAAAGTGTTGAGAAACATCTATTAAAATTTCTCCAAAGGAAAACATAAATGTATTTGTTTTTTCCACAATTAGTCTTATATCAAAACCTTCCATTATTTTGGAGAGTGTATGTTTCATTTCCATTCATGCCTCTTAACAATGATATTAAAACCAAAATCTAAGACTTTATATTACCAATCTGAAGGAAA